CCCACGCATACACACACACACACACACACACACACACACACACACATGCACACACACAATGGAGGAGGAACCCAATAGAGAGATGGTTTTGGAAGCTCTCGTCAATAAGTCCCAATGGACTCTGACATGACATTTGAAAATTTCCCTTTTCTGATTTTTTTTTCTGGTTCCTTTTCTGGAATACATAATGCTAACTACCCTTTCCTTTACTTCTCCTTCACATCCCCTATTCACCAGTCAAGGACTTTCTTTTCTCCCTACAGATAAGAGTTATGCAATTTGGGAGTCTTTTAGATAGACCCACTGAAGGGGTACCCCAATTGCCTCACCCTGCATCCCTGTTCACCATGGAGGAAGCCAGAGCAGTCTGCGTCCCGATTCTCTATCTGCAAGCAGGGTAACCTCTTCAGAGGATGGTGTGATAAGAATAGGAGGCAGGTATTGGCTAGGCAGTTAGGGTAAAAGGACCCCGAAGAAAAGTAGCCAGACTCTTGGCTAAAAGTCAAAATGTCCTTGGGCCTCTAAGCAACATACTCCATTACAAAGGACAAAAATGTCAAAAGTATTTGGGAACTCTTATCTAATCCTTAAAAGATTTTAGGGTTACCTCTTCAGAGAGGGGAATGTTAGAGTAGCCAAAAGCCTCATTTATAAAAAAGAAGCAGAAAGTACATGAAGTTATCAGAAAAAAGTGATGAGGAGATATGGGAGGAGTTGGGCATGGATTTGATCAAAACACCTTATATGCTTATAGCCCTGTATGAAATTCTCAATAAATTATTTTTTTAAAACGTTCCTGACCTAAAAAGGAGCTTACATTTTAGGTTAGAAAGAAACAAGATAAAGCAATAATTATGCAGTCTGTTAAATGTTAGTGGAGAAAACAGTAAGGAATGTGGGAGTGTGATGGATCACATCAGACTAAAGACCTGGACAAGATGAGAGGGACCTGGAGGAGATAAGAGGGGCCCAGAGGAGATGGGGGGCCTACAGGAGATTGGGGGCCTACAGGAGATGGGGGGCCTACAGGAGATAAGGGGGCCTACAGGAGATGGGGGAACTATATGAGATGAGGAGGGCCTACAGGAGATGAGGGGCCTACAGGAGATGGGGGCTACAGGAGATAAGGGGGAGCCTAGAGGAGATGGGGGTCCTAGAGGAAGTGAGGCATGCTTGGAGAAGAGGAGAGGGACCCAGAGGAGATGAGGAGGGCTTGTAGCTAGGAGGATCTCTGAAGGCAGAGGCCTTAAGGTAAGTGCAAAGGAGGGAGCTGGGCTGAAGAAGGAATTCTCAGAGGTGGGAACAGATTGAAAAAAGCTAGTACGTTATTTATTGTAAAGACTTTTGCATTTAACTGGAAGGTGAGCTTTCTTGTTGCCTTGTGGCCAAAATGGGGTTCCAAGTAACTCAGGAGCAGGAGCAATGGATGTGGGATGCCCAGAGAGCAGGCCTTGCCTGCCTGGGAGTCCAGCAGCAGGCAGATGTGTGGGTAGAACTCAGATGGGGTTGAACTGAGCAATGAAGGACCTGATGAAGAGACATGGAAACAGTGGTTGATTTTCACTCTGCTTCCCTCTACAAAACTCCAAAACTTTGAAAACAGCACAAAGAAAGAAGTTGGAAAGTCAGAGAGATTTTTCTCTTAAGGGAGTTAGGAAGGGGCTCTCTGGATTTAGTGAAAATACTTTATTGGAGGCCTAACTGGATACTTGCCCAAGAACACATGAAAAAATTCAACACTGTAATCATTAGCTTCTTAAAACTGATGTCAATCTCCTGCTGTTCATACATTTGTGTAAAGAATAATGTAACCCCTCAACTGAGAAGTCATATTTAGTTGATTGCTTTTTATAGTGATATTTTAAGAAGCTAATTTGAAGTCATTTAAATGTAAGTTTTGGTGGGGGGTGGGAGGGGGTTCTTTTTGAAACAGGGTCTCCCTGTAGACCCAGCTGGTCTGGAACTCACTATGTAGACCAAACTGGCCTCAATCTCACAGAGAGCCTTCTGCCTCTGCTGCTTCTCCTGAGTTCTGGGATTAAAGGCATGTGCCACCACACTCTGCTAAATATAACTTGATAAGAAAAATCTTTGGTCTGTTACTGATTTTTTAAAAAATGAGACTGTGGGTGGGAGTTTGCCTGTGTCTAACTGGTGCTTGAAAAGAGTGTTCTGAGCCTGTTGCAGTTTTGCCCACTGTGTGGGTTGAATTATTTTCTGATTCTTGGGAAAATGATCTCACTCTAATTGAACAGGAACCCAAACAGCCAGATTCTAGCAACAGACCCAGGTACAGACTTGACAAACTGCCTTCTGGAACAGAAGAACCACAGCGACCAAGAATGAGGCGGGCAGCTAGGTTCTTACCCCCTGAGGTAGCATCCCTAGGGCCCACTGGATCCATAGCTCAAAGCCACAGACACCTGGCCAGAAGATGCACGCCCAGTACTTTTCACATAGCTGTCTGTGGGCTGTTCTGAGAGAGTGATGGAAGCGAACCCCCAGCCAGCCCAGCTTCTGCTTATTGCCCAGTGAGGTTGCTTCTTAACACCTGGGCCACATTAGAGGTTTTATGTTTTTCCAAGGAGGCTGAATGAGAACCTCTGGAAAACACCTTGAGGTTAAAACTTCCCACAAGGTGTTTTTTTTTTTTTTTTCCCTGAAACATTCATATTGCTAAACCAGAATGCTAGAGACTGGGAGATCTTGAAACTTTACCTAACAGCTGCAGATGCTAGCTCAAAACAGTGCTAGGTCTTAGGACAAGTTTCAAAGACTCCCAGCAGCAAAGCTCCGCAGCAACTGGGAAACAGTCTCCTGGGCCTAGAGCTAAGACTCTTTTATAATGAAAAATTGGAGAGGGAAAGCATAAGTTTGCACTGTGGTGACTGGAACATTTTGGTGCTACTTGGCCACTAAGTTTTGAACTAACACAAATCAATCTCAGTAATTGAAAATAAAAGAAAGGTCTTTTAAAGTGCCCCTGTCTCCATGTCTATGTACAGCATGGGCTTGGCTGTAAGCAGCAGTAACGAGCTTTGATATACAGAAGTACACGTCAGTAGGCTATCAGGGTGAAGTGACAGAAATCCAGGCTCAGCTACAGCGGCTACGATAGCAACAGGAAGAGGAAAAGAGCTCTCTAGATGGTCTGCCTGCTGGGCTCTGCTACTAATATCCTGTCCAAGAAAAGCCTCACCACAGAGTCTGAGAGTGCGTCATAAGGTGCAGTGAGACTGGAGAAAGATACAGCCCAGTACAAAACTGCACAGAGCATGATTTATTGGGGCACAGGGGTGCAGCCTGATGCCTTGGGAAGCATCACAATCCAATGTGAAGCCCACCAGTTGTAGTGGTGCGCCTCCTGTCAAGGCAGGAGGAGCAGAAGTGCAAGGTCATCCTCAGCTACAGATTTATGTTTGAGGCCAGCTGCATGAGACCCTATGAAAAAAAATCCTCACAATTTGGGTTAGGGGAGGGTTTCTACAGTAGTCCAAATAAAAGTGACTTCATCAGGGGCTAGAAAATGGCTCAGTGGTTAAGAGCACTGGCCTCTCTTGCAGAGGACCCAGGTTCAGGTCCTAGCACACGGCAGCTAACAACTGTCCCTAACTCTGTTCCAGGGGTTCCAGTGCCCTCTTCTGGCCTCCACAGTCATTGCATGCATGGGGTGCACATATATACATATATATATATATATACATATATATACAGGCAAAACACATACGCATAAAATAAGTAAATAATTTTTTAAAGTGACTTCATTTAAGCCAGAGTAGACCCGGTTGGTCTCAAGCTAGAATCAAGGATGCTCAGCACATCCCAGCAAGGCCTATAAAGCTCCAATGTCCACACTGATGGTTTATCTATTTCTAGTGTGTAGGGAACTACATTGGGAAGCAGACCAGGTGCTCAGGGTCATCATGAGGTTGCAGCTCAAGATGGCTGCAGCCAGGTCAAGTGGAATTCCTGCCCATACTTTGGACATGGCTGCCTCCACTGGTCTGGCCTTGATGTGGAGTTCCCAACTCACCTCCCTGAATCTTTGTAGACTCTTTAAAACAGGGAAGCTCACCTGGGTTCCAGCCCATTTGGCATAACAGGAGAGGAGTCCTACCCGTTACATATGGTCCAGTGAAACAGGAGATAACGAAGCACCAGGGGATCCTAGTTTGAGAAGCCACCTGAAAGGCACACGTCCACAACTGTAATATAAAAACTAGAGTCTGTAATTTTCTGCATGTTGGAACATGGTGCTTACTGATTCAAATCGGTTCTGTATTGCTTGTCTTTCAGATGGCAGTGAGATTCCAGCTTCAACCTTGATGGATGCTTTGCTAAGGGAAGATTTTAAAATCATCATTAACAAACTAGCATATGATATACAGTGTCCCAAAAAAGGTAAGAAACACAGCCCTCCATCTACCTTAACAGAGCTCTCCAAAGTGTGGCGTGATCTTCACAACTGAAGCCCCTGGAGTTCTGAAATCCCAAGTTTTCACATAGAGCCTCCAGCAAACTTTCATTTACCATGCAGGTGTCCCAAGAGGCTATTGCTTTTTGTGACTCTCTGAATCTACCTCCCTTCAACATTGGGGGCCTTGGTTTGCCCTGGGACCTCGGTTTTTCCATCCAAAGTACTAACCAGGCCTGGCCCTGCTTAGCTTCCAGGATCAGGCACGTTCATGGTGGTATGGCTGTAACCTGACCTTCACTCTCCTATGTCTCAGGAGAGTTGTGGATGTTCAGTTTGTTCCCTTTTGTATTTGTTGTGAAGATGGAAAAGGGTTTTAGGCTCCTTAAGTGCCAGTTCTGAAGCTGGAAGTCTTAACTCTTTAAAATTTTCTTTTTTAATTTTTTTTGCTGAGTGTGCAGCAGTGTGGTGGCGCACTTGAGAGGCAGAAGCAGGAGGATCTCTGTAAGGTTGAGGCCAGCCTAGTCTACATAGTGCGTTTAAGGCCAGCCAGCTACATAGTAAGACCCTGTCTAAAAACAAACAAACCCCAAAACATAACAACAAAAAGAAATTTTCTTTTAATTTCAAACTGTAAATTGAATAATCCTAATCAGAAAGTCTGAAATCCAAATTCTAAAACTTTTTAAGTGTTGATATCACATGTGGAAAACTCTACACATGAGTTCTTGTGATGGGTGGTCAGAATGTATATACTAGGAATGTACCTTAGAGACAGAGCATTTGCCTGGCATACTATGCATATAATAAAATTACCTTCAGTCTAAGTATATAACATAAATAAATTTTGTGTGTACTTAGCCTCATCCTCAAGATACCTCACTATGCCTATGCAATATTCCAAAATCTAGAAAACATGTAAAATCAGAAACAATGCCAAGCATTTTAGATAAGAGAATTTCAACCTGAGTCATTTTAAATATTAGCAATTTGCTTTTAAATTTCTATTACTGCTGCTTCAAATATTGCTTCTGTTCCCTTCCTCCTTCCTTTTTTTTTTTTAAATTTGATTTGGATTTTTAAAATAATTTATTTTATGTGAATAAATGTTTTGCCTGCATGTATGTTAGTGTACCCTGTGTGTGCAATGCTCACGAGAGATCAGAAGAGGGCATTGGATTCAGTGAAACTGGAGTTACAGTTGTTAGCTGCCATGTGGGTGCTGGGAACTGAACACGGGTTCTCTGGAAGAGCAGCCAGTGCTTTTAACTGCTGAGCCATCTCTCCACCTCCCTCCCTTCGCTCCCTCCCTCTCTTCCTTTTCCAAATGGTATTTCCATCATGTCCATGTTGTACTTTCTGTAGCTGTCCCATGGTTCTTAGGTTTAACTTGGAGAGTTTCTGTAGGCAGATCCTCAAGCCCACTGAATCTTTCTTTGCCTGTGTCTTGTTCAGTGATAAGCCCATCAAAGGCATATTTCATTTAGTGATTTTTATTCCTGGCTCTTCCTTCTGGTTCTTTTTACCATTTTCATCTGAGTTTACTTTGCATTCTTGGATGCTGCTCTTTATATCCATTAGAGACACTATGATATCAATCAGTTGTTTTCACATCATAGTTTAATAATTCCAAAGTCTGTGCTATTCCATTCTTGTCAACCCCAGCATGGAATGCTAGATCCACACTGGCCAAGGCCCAGTGTACCAGTTAGTTTTTGTCACAAAATAGAGTCACCTGGGAAAAGGGAATATCGGGGAAGGAATTTCCTTCATCAGACTGGCCTGTGGGCTTGTCCATAGCACATTTTATCAATTGCTAATTGATGTAGGCGTGCCCAGCCCATGATGGGTGGTGCCATCCCTGGGCAGATGGGCCTGGGCTGTATGAGAAAGGGGGCTGAGCAAGCCAGGGGAGGAAGACTGAACGCAGTGCTCCTCTGTGGTCGCTGCTGCAGTGGCTGCCTTAGGTATCCTCAGTGATGAACTGTTACTTGGGATTGTAAATTGAAACAAACCCTGTCCTCACTTTTCTTTCCTGAGTTTGGCTTGGACTCTGCTTTGTCAGATGGTTACTACCACTTGCCTTCAGATCCCACTTACTCGGAATATTCTTTCCATCCTTTCATTTCCACTCTGGCATCTGCCAGGCAGGTTTCTTGCAGGCAGCAAACAGGTCTTGTTTTTCAACCTGTTCAGCCAGTTTAAGACCATTTGCATTTAGGGTTATTATCAGAAGTATGTACTAATTTCTCCCTTCTTCATCTCAGAGGTTGGATGGTTTACTGAGGTAATAAGGTTTCTTTCCTAATTTTTAATTTTACAAGTAAGATCTGTTTTTGCCATTAGTGTTCTGATAGAAAGGAGGAACTTTGTTTTGTTTTTTGATTTATTAATTTTTATTTTATTATATGTATGAGTTATTTTTTAAACCTTTATTATTTTTTAATTTTTATGTGTATGAGTGTATTGTCTGCATGTGTGTAAGTGAATCTGTATTGTACAGTGCCCGCAGAGGTCAGAAGAGGGTGTCAAATAACCTGGAACTGAAGTTACAGATGGTTGTTAGCCGCCATGTGAGTGCTGGGAATGAAACCCAAGTATTCTGCAAGAGCAGTCAGGGCTGAGCCCTCTCTCTAGCACCAGAAGAAGGAATTTTTAGAAATTTTGTGCTCTGCTTTAAGCAGATAGACTCTAGAGAACCAACAATTGATGAATGGCATTTCACAAAATTTAAAAATTTCTGCACAGCAAAGGAAACAATTAAATGAAGTCAGCTTGTAAAGTGGGAGAAAACCTCTGCTAGCTCTACATCTGACAAAAGATTAATATGTAGACTATAAAAGAACTAAAAAAGTAAATAATAAGAAAAAAAATAGCCCAATCAATGAAATGAACAGACAGTTCTTAAAAAGATGAAGGACAGCTGGGCTTGGTGGGACACTCTTTTATCCCAGCACCAGAGGGGCAGAGACAGGCAGGTCTCTGTGAGTTCAAGGCCAGCCTGTCTACATAGGGAGTTCCAGGCCAGCTGAGGCTATATGGTTACCCTGCCTCCAAAAAACAAAATAACAAGAAAACAAATAATAAATGCTGGCAAGGTTGTGAACAAAATGGAACCCTTACACATAGCTGGTAGGGATGTGAACTAGTCCAGGCACTATGGAAATCATATGAGGATCTCAGAAAACCAAAACTACGTGTACCATATGACTCAGCTATCCCATTCCTGGGTATTTTTTGAAAATTATTTAAATTTTATTTTGCATGTACAAGTGTTTTCCTTACATGTATGTAAGTGCATCTGTGCACGCAATGCCAACAGAGGCCGGAAGAAGGCATTGGATCCCCTGGAACCGGAGTTACAGATGGTTGGTAGCCACCATGTGGGTACTGGGAACCGAACCTGAGTCCTCTGTACGAGCAGCCAGTGCTCCTAACCACTGAGCCTTCTCTCCGGCCCCCTTCCTGGGTATTTACCCAGGACTCCTAGTCAGCATTTCACAGAGATGCTTTCACATTAGTGTTTGCTGTGGCACTGTTCACAATAGCTAAATTATGGATCAACCAACAGTATCTGTCAAGAGCGGAATGGACAAAGAAAAAATGGTTACGTGCACAGTGAACATTTTTTCTGCCATAAAGTTCTGTTGCTTGCAGGAAAATTGATGCAACTGGAGACAAAGCAATGAAGTCAGCCTCAGAATGACAAACACTGCAGGCTGTGTGTCATCGGTGGTTCCCAGATCTTACATAGATACATAAGAGTTATGCACGTGTGTATGACAAGGAAGGGGCAGCAGAACTGTTTAGGGGAACAGAGGGACTTAAAAAGAAGAGCGGGATGGAAAGGGAAGAGGAGGAAGGCGCAGAGGGGAAAATATGCTCGAAGTACATTAGATACATGTATGAAAATGTCCTTGTGGAACAGTATCATGTATATACAGTGAACATAAGATGAATGGATAGTGCAGTGAATATGCACCAATGGGGAAAATTAAGAATTTTAAAAGTCCTTACCAAAGTGGCAACATTTTGGGTTAGCATATTTTGATCTCCTACACTTTTTTTTTTGTATAACATGTGTTAATTGCCTTTCAGATCTGTACTGTACATAACCTCCCTTACAAGCAGAACCTACACTTGAACTGCTTTTCACATTTGATTTGACCTTGGTTTACATGTCTATATACCAGCTTTCTTCTCCTGTAGATCCTGAAATAACTGTTGGAAAGGATAGGGAGTAGGGTCTGAGGTTACTAACATTCAGGAATAAAAGCCATGAACTAATGCGATACAAGTGAGTTACGGTGAGGCAGTCACGTACATTCTGGTAAATGGATTCTCCCCTTGCTTTTCCTATACGTATATGTCTTTTATCGTTTACATTTATATGTGTGTATGCGTGCATGGAACTTAGATGACAGCTTTTCGGAGTCAGTTCTTTCCTTTCACTATGAAGGTCCAGGGGCTCAACTCAGCTCTTCAGACTGCTCAAGGCTGAGCCCATCTCAAGGCTCATATGCATCTTTTTTTAAAACAACAGTAGAAGTCCTATTAAAGACACACTGACTTTCCAAAGTTGAATTTTATCACTACAGATTGGCTTCATACAAGAGACTGACGGATTCAACACCAGAGCTCAGATGTGCAGGCATAGGGACTTAGATTTGATTGCCTGGACTTTTTGGAGGGAAAAAAATGTGGTAGATGCCATTGTTTCTCTTCTTTTCTCAGAAGAACCAAGTAAAGAGCACACGACTGAGATGGAGAGTGTGAGATCCTTGGTTCACAGACTCTTCACAGTCTTGCATGTGGAAGACTTTCAGAAAAGAAGAGAGCACCATTTGATAGCAAAGATCGATCACCTGAAGGAGCAGCTGCAGCCCCTGGAGCAGGTATGGAGGTGGCACAGCTGGACTGTTGGCAGACATACCTGCTATTGCCAAGTGCTTGTCGTATGAGCACTTGTATCTTTTAACTATGCTCACTTCTCCTTTAATCCTCAAAATGATCCTGTTTTCTTCCTCACTTTGGGACGAAGGAAACTGGGTAACTGAGGTATATGCAGTTAGCACGTGGCAAAGCCTGAACTTGGGGGATCTCACTGCAAAGACAAAGCTTTTGTTTTTGAGACAAGTTCTCCCTGTAGCCCTAACTGTCCAGGAATTTGCTGTGTAGACCTTGCCGGCCTCCATCTCACAGAGATCTACTTGCCTCTGCCCTCCCAAGTGCTGGGTTTAAAGGTGTACATTACCATGCCCAGCTCAGAGCAGAATTTTAGCCTCTGCCTCCTCAGCATCAGCCATGAGTCTCTGTAAATATGTGAAGTGGGATGTGGCAAAGTGCTACTGCACAGGTCCTAGCTCAGCCTACCAGAACTGCGGGTGCAAAGTCAGCAGTAGCTTCCTGATACATCCAAAGTTGTTTTTTTCCCAAATTACAGAGGAAAAAAAAAAAATTACTGATATTTTGTGGGGAGTGGGAATTCTGTTTTAAGGGGTGACAACTACATTTTTTTTTCTTGTCTTTTTGAGACAGGGTTTCCCTGTAGCCTCAGCTGTCCTGGAACTCACTATGTAGACCAGGCTGGCCTCAAACTCACGAAGATCTGCTTGCCTCTGCCTCCCAAGTGCTGGGATTAAAGGCATGCACCACCACACCCAGCAGCTACATTCTTTTTTAATATTTTATTATTTTATTTTATGTGTATGAGTGTATTGTCTGCATGTTAAATGCACCTGTGTCGTGCAGTGTCTTTGGAGGTCAGAAGATGGTGTCAGATCCCTTGAAACTAGAGTTACGGACAATTGTTAGTGTCCATGAAGGTGCTGGGAACTGAACCCCAGGTCCTCTGCAAGGGCAGCCAGTGCTCTTAACCACTGAGGCATCTCTCCAGCCCGGACAATTACATTCTTTAAGCCTATAATTCCATTTCTAATCTTTTAAAAAATGGGTGTGGGGTTGATCTGTGTCTTTGTATGTGAATAGACAGATTCTAGAAATGTAAATGACTCTTAGTAGTGATTCTCTTCAAAGGCGTTTAGGGGTGGCAGAGGGCAGTCCTTTTGTTTTGCTTTTCTGGATTACTTACCCAATTTTTGTTTTGCAAGAAACTGATATTTGCAATTGTGGTGGTGCACACCTTTAATCACAACACTCAGGAGGCAGAGGCAAGTGGCTCTCTATGAGATCAAGGCCAGTTACAGCTACAGAGTGAGTCTCAAAACAATAACAAAAAATAATGAATCCATAGTGGTGTGTTTGTAATCTCAGCTCTCACAAAGCAGTATCAGGAGGAACACCACAAGTTCAAGGCCAGCCTGGCCCCTATAGCAAGTTCTAGGCAAGTCAGGGCTACATAGTGAGACCCTGTCTCAATATAAGACAGAGCAGAATGAGTCTCTGGAGAACCACATGAATACAAAATGTGCTTGAATGAATTCCCAGCAGACAAATTGTGGGATCAAAGAAGATCGGGCTGTAATTCTAATTAGGTTTCAAAAGATGACTTCTAAGTTTCTAATTATATGCTCTGCTATAATTTAGGGAGTTTTGTTTGTTTTCTATGAGTAGGTATTACCTTTATAACTTAACAAATATTAACTGATTTGTAAATGAGCAATTGACGTGTATTTCATAAATGTTGCTTTTCCATATACCTGACATCTTCAAAGTAACACACAACATGCACTGATTCAAATGTTTCTTGTTGCTCTTGTTTTTTCCCCTTAAGTTGGCAAATCTGTAAACTGAACTAATGGATGGTTACCCCTTCCTCTAGGTCAAAGCTGGAATTGAAGCTCGGTCAGAAGCCAGAACCGGCAGGCTCCTCTGGGCTGGCTTGGCCCTGCTCTCAGTTCAGGGTGGAGCACTGGGCTGGCTAACCTGGTGGGTGTACTCCTGGGACATCATGGAACCAGTTACCTACTTCCTTACATTTACAAATTCCATGGTCTTTTTTGCATACTTCTTAATTACTCAACAGGTGAGTCCTTAGAAAAAAAATGGTCAATTAGGACATCTTTGTTAAGAATTCCTTATCCAAGTCAAGCAGTCAATAAAACCCTTTCATTTACTGAGTAACTTATCTGGGTTTCATCCAATCACAAGATTGGATGGAGGTGTTTTAGAAAAGTGAAGTTTTAGTTTCTAGTAAGGAATCAGTGTAACACATAAATCCCTCCCTGGGATAGATGCCGCACTCCCTTCTCTCTGTCCTCACTCTAAATATTTGGATCTCTTCATCTGCCTCCCTTTGCCTTGGTGTTGCTGGGTCAAGTATCTTCCTATGTTGACAGTATGTTCATTCAAAACAAGCTGTTCTTTCTCTTTTAGAATTATACTTACTCATCTGTTAGAAGTAGGCAATTCCTCCATTTCTTCCACAAGAAATTGAAGCAGCAGCATTTTGATGTGGAACAATACAACAAGTTAAAAGAAGACCTTGCTAAGGTATCTTACTGCAAGTACCTCCTGGAGCTAGTTTTGTTATACAGCCAAGGAAATCAATGCAGTTGTTACTTCATTTTCACAAGTTAAAAATATTGGTTGAAATTTCTGTGTATTGTTCAGCAAAATGGTTGACATGGATTTGTTTGTTTAAAGAACATGAACTGAAAAAAAATGATAAAAGAGAAAACCTGGTAGTTTTCAAAAAAATTTTTTAAATTTATTTTTAATGTGTCAAATGTTTTGTCTGCATCTATGTAAGTGCACCATGTGTGTGCAATACCTGCTGAGGCCAGAAGATGCCAAATATCCTGGAACTGGAGTTACAAACAATTGTTAGACACCATGTGGATGCTGGGAACCGAAGCTAAGTCCTCTGCAAGAGTACCCAGTGCTCTTAACAACTGAGCATCTCTCCAGTCCTAGTTTCTCTTTTGAAAGCACCAGGATGAGGTTGAAGCCATAAACCCCCCTTTTAAAAAGGGGTTCACATAAAATTGAAATAAACCATTTGCCTTGGTAATTTATTTCTAAATATTTTATTATTTTTATTTCATGTGTATCAGTGTATTGCCTGCATGTATGTTAGTGTATCTGTGTCACGCAATGCCTGAGGAGGTCAGAAGGTGGCTTCGGATCCCCTGGAACTGGAGTTACAGATGGCTGTTAGCCACCATATGGGTGCTAGGAACTGAAGCTGGGTCCTTTGCAAGAGCAGCCAGTGCTTTTAATCTCTGAGCCATCTCTCTAGTCCCTTGGCTCAGTAATTGAAATGTGGCCCATGGAGACACTGAATATGTAGAATTCTTCTCAAGCAATAATGTTGGTATTTATTTTCTCTGATTTCATGCTTTTCTTTTTCCCATAACAGGCTAAAGAATCCCTGAAAAACGTGCGCCATTCCCTAAATTTGAGAATGCAAGTTGAGGGACTCAGTGAGAAGAAGTGATCTTCTGTTTTTAAATATCACTGGCTTATGTGCCAATTTTGTAACTTCCAAACTGGACATTTTTAGGTCTTGTTCATTTCTATTTGACTGTTTCAGTCTTTGTTTATTAATAAAATATATGTGAAACAGCAGTATTCTTTGAAGTTTTCACTTGAAATGCTTGGCTTGTGGATTTAAAAAAAATTTTTTTAAGAAGGAAGAGGATTATTTCAGCTTACATGTTACTGCCATCATTATGGGAAGCCAGGGCAGGAACACAAAGGGAGGAATGGAAGCAGAGACCACTGAGGACAATGCTTACAGCCTGCTTCCTCTTACAGCCCAGGCCACCCTGTCTCAGGGTGGCACTACCCACAGTGGGCTGGGCCCTCACACATCAGTCAGCAATCAAGAAAATGCCCCATAGTGGTTTATAGATTTTTATGTCTTGACAGTGTTTCAAAGGGCTGCTGTGCCCTCTTCAAAGTAGCAGCTGCTGTTAGCTAAAACTCAAGCTGGTCCCACAGGGGAAGTGAAATGGTCAGTGTACTTGGTATTCACTTCGCTTCTCACCTTGTGGTTAAATTTTATTTCTTGAGACAGAGTTCCAAGAATTAGGCTTGAGCTGTCAGCAATCCTCCTGACTCAGCTTCCTGAGAGCTATGATTATAGGTATGAACCACTATGCCCAGCTCCTTTCTGCAAAGACTACACAATTGTGGGGTCGCTCCCTCTCCTCGTGGGTCGTTGGCCACCGTTCAACGACGACAAAGGGAGCAGAAGCGACGAACGGGGTCAGGATGACCAGTGAGCACTGACGGAAGAAAGCCCTTCCAGGGAGGCAGGTTCAGTGATACAAACAGCTCCAGACTCAGTGAAACAGCTCCGTTTATTCAGTGGGGATTAGGGAAAATATAGTGTGGGGGCAGTAGCCAATGCTTCAGCTGATAGGTGCTCATAGTATGCTTTATTTACATGTGGCAGTAGGCTCCTATCATCTGACTACTGGGCAATGCCTAATTATCATATAGAAAAAACCTGGGGGTAGTTTTTACTCCAGGTAACTATGCCAAAGGTCATGTTTTAAATGTGCCAAGCATCCGTGCTTGGCGGCACTTTCCAGGTAAGTCAGGCAGGAAGCCCCTGCCGAGAAAGGAGCCAACCTTAACAGCAGGGTTCCCCAACACACAATTGCTGTATGATCTTTGCCATTTCTCAAAGGTAGGCATGTCCCACTAGCCATACCGATATGTTCTGTGCTGCAACTAAAGCACTTGCAAAGCCCTGCTTTACACAGGTTTACATGCTTTATTTGTTTCAGTTCTCAAAGTCCCCAAACCAAACTTTCTTAACCAGCAGGTTATTAACAAATAGCATTATTCAAATTCTGTATTATATTTTAATGTTATATTAATAAGAACTAAATCTTAAAAGTAAAATGTATCATTCTTTTAATGTGACAGTTTCACAATGTCAGCATCGTTCATCTAAAGTTACTAGAGAATCACAGCTATGCAGATGTTTTACCTGTAGTGACAAACTGTCACTGTACACTACATTTCATCCTCAGAAAGCCGTCAAGTAATTCATTCTATTTTTATTTTTAGTCTTTTTGAGACAGGTTCTCCCTGTAGTCCCAGCTGGCCTGGAACTTGTAGACTAGGCTGGCCTTCGTCCCACAGAGATCCGCCTGCATCTGCCTCCCCAGTGCTGGGATTAAAGGTGAGGACTACCTTGCCTGGCACACATAAAGTACTTCCTAAACGTTAGAAAGCCGTCAAGTAATTCATTCTATTTTTATTTTTAGTCTTTTTGAGACAGGTTCTCCCTGTAGTCCCAGCTGGCCTGGAACTTGTAGACTAGGCTGGCCTTCGTCCCACAGAGATCCGCCTGCCTCTGCCTCCCCAGTGCTGGGATTAAAGGTGAGCACTACCTTGCCTGGCACACATAAAGTACTTCCTAAACGTTCATTTTTATTCAAAATGGGAGTTAGATACATTAATTCATAAGTAGTTGAGACAGTAAACCCAAATGCGACCAAATACAACAGGACCACCATAAATTACACAAGAATATGAATTAGAAAACTTTAATAAAATATGAATCTCAAATATTTTATTAAAGGAAAACAATCTTATTCTTGAGTTTCAAAAATCTTTAAAAACATTATACAATAAGCTTGTATAAACAGTGTCACAAAATATAAGTCAAATCAGCCAGTATTTTGAGTAATCTTACAGTTTACTAAAAAATCTTAATAAACGCTGGTAGATATTTATAGCAAATTCCTGAGGATTTCGTTAAGCCCTTTCACCATATCCAACATGATTTATAAAAACAAATACAAAATAGCACTTCTTTATTTGGGTGCTAAACCTTAAAATATTTAAATTGATAGGCTGAATGCTTCAACCTACTGACATATTTAAAAAGGAAATACATGTGAAATATATGTACATGAAACAAAAGTGGCCCCTACTTACTAGACTTTGGACAGAAATGAAGCTTTTTAGTGAGCATTGACACAAAGCAGGGAACTTGCTTCTTGCCAATTGCACTTGGGTCTCTGCAGTAGACCACTCGACGCTGAGAGACCTTCCTGTTCACCAGAGTGAGGAGTTCTGTGAACTCCAAGGAGGTGCCGTATCTTGCCAACATCTCACACAAATCTTGAATGTACCATGAGCCATTCACAATTTCTCGGTGAGAGTAATATCCTAAAACAGAAGGGGGAAGGGCTGTCAAGTTTTCTTTCACTTCAAGGTGACTGAAAGACACCTTTATAACCAACTCAGTTACAGAAATGTGAGTTCTCAAAAGTCCTTGGGAAAGAGTATGATGGGATTCCCATCCTGCTTTCCCATACTCCCAGGCCCAATGCCAGCATTCTGTCTCTTCCATCGCACACTCCCAGGGCTAGCTTGGGCAGCACTGCTGTCACAGGGTCCAGCTTGGTGAGCTCCACAGAACTGCCCTTTGTTGCCCTCCTCACACTCCTAGGCACAGCTCAGGATATGCGGCCTGAGCATCAGCCCAGACAGACTCAGTCAAGAGACAGATTTGTATGGTTTCTTCATTACCAAAATGGAATCACCCGTTTCTCCAATCAAAAATCAACACTGACCTGCCCATCCACTCACCTAGTAGCCACCCCACTGTTCTAGGATCATGGCATGAAGTCTGTCCTAGAACCTCAGGCTTGTATGTTGTACCTATCTCTAGCTAAACTGAGACCACTTACATCCCATTTGCACATCAATACAGAGTGGCCACAAGACTGAACACCAAGTATCTAGGCCACAACTTTGACAGGACAGTAATAACTTTCGACCTTAGTGGTCCCAATTCTCCAATAAAAAGACAAAGACTAACGGATTGGATTGGAAAACAGTATCTCTTTGCTATCTCTAAGAAACATACCATCAAGGATGGACACCATCTTAGGGTAGAAAGATAGAAAAAGGTATTCAAAGCAAATGGAACTAAGAAACAAGCAGGCATAGCTATTCTAATATCTGATAAACTAGACTTCAAAACTAGTCAGAAGACATATGGAAGGGCATTTCAAACTCATTAAAGGAAAAATCCACCAAGAGGATATTGAAATCTAAACATATGTACTCCCAACATGGGGGCAACCAATTTCATAAAGGAAACCCTATTAGATCTAAAATCACAAACTGAGGGGCTGGAGAGATGGCTCAGCAGTTAAGAGCATTGGCCGCTCTTGCAGAGGACCCAGGTTCGATTCCTAGCACCCATGTGGCGGTTAACAACCATCCGTAACTCCAGTTCCAGGGGATCTGACGCCCTCTTCTGATCTTCTCAGGCACTGCATGACACAAGTTCACTTACATACATGCAGGCAATACACTCATAGACATAAAATAAAAATATTTTGAAATCACAGACTGACCCCCCCCAACACTGGGATAGTGGGTACTTTCAATACCCCACTGTTACCAATAAACAGGTCATCCAGACAAAAATTAAACGGAAAAAGCTGAAATTAAATAACATCATTTACAGACATTTACAGAATATTCCACCCAAACACTTTCTTTTCAGCAACCCATGGAACTTTCTCCAAAACTGACCAAATATTAGGACATAAGAAAAGTCTCAACGAACTTAGGAAAACCGAAGTAATAACCTGAATTATAACCAATTACAAAGGAATCAAACAGGAGAGCTACAAAAACAGGAAAAGGTACACAAATTCATAGAAACTAAAAACACCGAATGAAAATTGGGTCAAGGGGGAAATCAAGAAGGAAATTTAAAAAGTCCTAGAATTGGAGTGAAAACGAAAACACAACACACCTAAACCTATGGGACACAATGAAGGCAGTCCTAAGAGGAAAGCTTAAGTGCCTACATCAAAAAACTTGAGAGATCTCATGTTAATTACCTAATGATGCACCTGAAGGCCTTGGAAAAACAACAAACAGCCAAGAAGAGATACTTAAAATCAGGGCTGAAATAAATGAAACAGAAACAACAAGAAAAACTATACAAAGAATCAATGAGACAGACTAAGAGTTGGTTCTTTGAAAAGATTAACAAGATTGACAAACCTTTAGCCAATTTAACCAAAAGAGAGAACTCAAATTAGAAGTGCATCACTGGGGGTGGGCTTTGAGACTTCTTAAAGCCTTGTTGGATTTCCAGTCCTTCTCTGCTTCCTGAAGATGTGATTGCTCAGCTTTCTGCTCCGGCCACCTCTGCTGCCATGCCTCCCCTGCCATTGTAGACCCTTAACCCTGGAACCATAAGCCCAAATAAATTCCTTCTGCAAGTGGCCATGGTCACGGTGTCTTATCACAACAACAGAAAAGTATCATATGGGCATACTATAAAAACCTATATTCCTTGAAGCAATGGAGCTGGAACTGGCCTGGACGTCACCCCTCCTGAAGGCTAGCTCTCCTAGCTTTGGAGAGCACTACACAAGCTGCTAAGAGAGAGCATGAATTGTTGGTCCAACCCCAGCTTCAAGGCCTAATAACCACAGCAATGACCAGCATAGCAAACAACATTGGTGCAGTAATGGCACTTTTATCTTGGGGGTGACAGCTACCTAACTGGACTTAAAGCCCACTCAATGGGAGGAAACTCATGTGTGGTACTATAAACCTAGCCAAATAAACATATCTGGAGAGGACACAGATCTTAGAAAAAAAAAAAACCCAAGGCTGTCACATCCCTAGACAAATGTAATTTCTTACTATGTGCAAAACACGGATTCTTATATGTACAGACAAGTATTCCAGTCACCACCCATCAAAGAACCTTCCTTTTTAACAGACAGAGATTCAGAGTTCCACAACTGGTCATACACAGACATTGTCTATGAATTGCCCAAACCTAAATAGCACATTAACAATGCAACCTCTACACCTAAGGCTCATGGAACATAGGACAAGGGGTAGAGAACAGTAAAGCATCTCTCAATTCTCATCAGTGAAGCTCCCTCATGCAGCAGAGGGCCAGGAACACAAAAGCATGAATGGCCAAAACATGGAGAATAAGGGCCTGCAGAGTGTGGGTCCTTGACAGGACTCCTATATTAAACTCCACCCACCCAGGGCTCAGGGACCATTGTGGAAGGGGTCGGGGAAAAGATTGTAAGAGCTAGGGAGGAGGTGCATGACCATATAGAAATAGAGTCCTGCAGGCTTCTGGTATCCTCCTCATATGAACCTACAGTAATGGTGTCAGCATGCACAAGACCCATGCAAACTCAAGCAGACAAAAACCCAGCACAGAACTGGGGAAATGGGAAGCAGGCCCCACCTTTGCTGAAGAATTATGGGCAGCTGATACTGGGTGAGAAACGGCTGATCTTATTAAAGGGAGGGACTCTAGATAGGCTGCCTAGACCCCAGTAGATGAACTTGCACTGAGGGATGTCTGGGGACACCGACTTGACATGGTAAGTCTTAACACAAATGACAGAATGTATGAATTCCAGTTGGGGGAGGGGGCTATGGGAGAGTGTCAGTGGGGAAGAGGTATAAAGTTCATTAAGATGTTCTGTATGGAATACACAAAAATTAATACAGCTTAGTAGTAGGTTCAATCCTCAGTAAAAGAAAGGAAATAAATGACTCAAACTTTAAAAAATCAATAATGTTATGATAACAATAAAATTACAGCTTTTCCATGACATAAAAACAGCACAATATGTAGAAATGCCCAAATATTGAATCACGTCCAACCTAGCAAGGACTTGCTCTCCATGTAACCTCCAGAATCTAGTTCATTAAAACCAGCTCCATGATGTTGAACGGATGAAGGAGGAACTTGTTCTATGTGGGGATTTGATGGTTTAGTAAGTCTAGAAAAGGTGAACTGCATGTTGTATGCAGTCATTAAGTCCAGGAAAGGCGAACTGCATGTTGTATGCAATCATTAAGTCTAGGAAAGGTGAAACTGCATGTTGTATGCAGTCATTTGTGAGAGAAACCGAAAGGCAAGATGTATAAAAACTAGTCGACACAGGGCAGCTCCGGGGACGCTGCCCACACCACATTGTCTCGCCCATAGTCCATTACTACAGCATTTAGGTTATTTCTAACTAAGGTTATTTACTCACCAGATAAAATATTTGTTGTAATCTCACCTCTTAGGAAGATGAGGCAGGAGGATTGCTTTGAGTTCAAGGTGAACCTGAGCTACACTGTGAGTTCTGGGATAGCCTAGGTTATAGAGTGAGACATTATAGCTATGGTACGGGGTAACAACTTGAAGGACAGAGCTTTGTTTTACAGAATGATCATAATTGGGTCTTTTTGTATATGTGCGCACACACGCACGCATGCGTGCATGCATATGCACACAACTAGCAAGGGAATTACTGGCTTACATTTAACATTTTGGTTGTTAGCCTTAGCCTTTAATGGCTGTGCTATCCCTTCAGCTCCTAGCTTACATTTAAAAGAAAATCTTTAACAAAGCATTTGTATTCCCTCACCAAATGTACTAATGTAATGGTAAACACATTTCTGTTCATCAAAGCACATTTCCCAAGTGTTCCACACTTAAGATAATTCTGCAGTATTTTTTTTTTGTGTGTGTGTGTATGTGTAAAACTAATAAAGAGGAGGAGAAATTGAAAAGGATCGGGGATATGAGGAGTTGAAGGGGGACTGAGAGGGATGGAAATCATGCAAATACAATAGTTATGTACAAAATTATCAGAAATAAAATATTTTTTAAAAAGGAAAAAGAACACTTTAAAAAAACTATATTCCACTAACCTGGAAAATGTAAAAGAAATGGATGAATTTCTAGATATGTATGACTTAGCAAAATTAATTCAAGAGGAAGTAAAGAATTTAGACTCATAAGAACCAAAGAAATAGAAGCAGTAATTAAAAATTGCAATTAAAAAAATCCCAGGACTAGATGGATTCAGTGAAGACCTTCCAAGAAGAACTAACACCAATACTCCTCAAATTATTTGGCAGAACAGAAAAGGAAGGAACACTTCCAAATTCTTTTTATGAAGCTAGTATAACTGATTGTAAAACCAGACAAAGATTAAAAAAAAAAAAAAGAAAATCATACACTAATCTCTCTGATACTCTCTGATGCAAAAATTCTCAAACTATTTGTAAACCAAATGCTAGAGCATATCACAAAGATTACCCATCATGGAGGGCTGAATAGGAAATGCCCACCATAGGCTCAAGTATTTGAACACTTAAGCAGTTAGTGGTACTGTTTGGGGCAAGGCAGAATCTTTAGGAGGTGCAGCCTCCCCGTGGGAAGCATAAGGCTGGGAGGCTTCCCCTTGAGAGGACATAGCCTTACCCATCTCCCAGTTTTGCCCACTCTGCTTCCTGCATGTGCTTGAAGATGTGAACACTCAACTTTATGCTTTGCCCATTTCCCACCGCCACACTTCTCCCAGCATTAGGTACTCTCCCCGTGGAACCAGGAGCCCAAATGAGCTCTTTCTTCTGTAAGTTGCCTTGGTCATTGCCTTGGTTTATCACAGCAATAGAAATGTAACAAATATATCCAACATGATCAAGTCAGCTTCATCCCAGAGATGCAGGAAAGGTTCAAAATACAATGTAATCTACCACATAAACAGATTCAAGGACAGAAAAGGCTTTTAACAAAATCCAACATCCCTTCATGATAAAAGTCCTGGAGAAAATAGGGATATTGGGGACGTATCTCAACATAAGTCAATATATAGCATGCTCACAACAACATCATGCTAAATGGAGAAAAACTCAAAGAATTTCCACAAAATTAGGAATGAGACAAGGATGTCTACCTTCTCCATTCCTGTTTCATACAGTGCTTGAAGTCTTAGCTAGAACAATAAGGCAAGTAAAAAAGAGATAGGGGGGATGCAAATTGGAATGGATAACGTCAAAGTAACCTTATTTGCAGATGATATGATTCTATACATGAAAAACCCTAAAGACTCAACCAGAAAACTCCTAGAGTTGATAAACACATTCAGCAAAGTAGCAGAATACAAAATTAACAAACAAAACTCAGTAGCTTCCCTATATACCAACAACAAACATACTGAGTAAGAAATCAGGGAAATAACCCCATTTATGATAGTTTCAAAAAACAGTATCTTGGAATAAATCTAACTAATGAAATGAACATGTGTATAATAAAAATTTTAAGATATTGAAGAATGAAACTGAAGAAGAAACCAAGACAGAGATCTCCAATGCTCATGGGTCAGCAGGATAAATACTGTGAAAATGGTACCCAACCGAAAGCAGTGTACAGATTCAATGCAATCCCCACCGAAAGGCCAATGTAATTCTGTGCAGAAATTGAAAGAACAATGTTGTTTCATATGGAAACACCCCCGCCCAGGATGGCCAAAATATTCTTGAACAATAAAGGAACTGCTGGAGGCACTACCATTCCTCGATTTGATTTGAAGTTGGACTACAAAGTTTAAAAACAGCATGGTAAGGGCACAATGTTCTTCTTTTCTTTGTTTGTTTTGAGACAGGGTCTCCTTGTAGTCCCAGCTGGACTGGGACTCACTACATAGACCAAGCTGACCTCCATCTCAGAGATCTGCCTGCCTCTGCTTCTGAGTGCTGCGATTAAAGGTGTGTCCTACCATGCCTGGCACAGACACCTGATTTTTGACGAAGAGGCTGATTTTGACTGGAGAAAAGATTAAATCCTCAATAAGTGGTGCTGTCAAACTGGATATCTGCATGCAGCAGAATGAAACTACATCCATCTCTCTCACTATGTACAAAATAGTTCATGGGCCCTAGGGGAGAACCTGTTACTAATATTCTACTAAACAGACATAGAATGAAAACGACTCCTAATGACTTAGCATTATACTCATGGATTAGTGCAACTCTCAACCCTCAGAAATTTCTTCTTACAGACAACAATTAACACAGATACCCACAACTGGTCAGTGTGCAGAGAATAAGAGACTTCAAGGTGCTCAGCCCCACATGGGTCATCTACTTTACACGCTTTCCCCCAAGGCTCAGGGAATTTCTCAGAAGAGGGGATGGAAACATTGTGAGAGCCAAAGGTGCTGGACATGTACCAAAACTGTTTTACAGACAGAAGGGCAGCTGCATATATGAACTTGCAGCACAAGACCTACCTAAGCTGAAGCCTGACAAAAATCTCATCATGGAGGTGGGGGAGGTGGGCATGAATGCCCACCCCTAGCTGAGGAACTACTGGCATCTGATGGGTTCTGGGAGCGGGACAGTCAGTTTTCTTTAAGGGTGTGGTCCCTGGTAGGTCAACTACAGTGCAGGGCAGGTTCCAAACCCAAGAGTATTTGGGCAACACATATTGGACTTGGGGTTGGAGGACATAAAGTTATGTGTGTGGGGAGGTGGGGGTGGATCTGGGAGTTCAGAGAGGGAGGAATGAGATCAAAACACAATGTACGAAGTTCTCCAAAAATTAATACAAATTTTAAAAAAGGAAATCATGCAGTTAACAGAAAGAATTCAATTAAAATATAATTTTTTAAAAAAGAAAAATAGCAAAAGCTGTTCAAGGTCCAGTGAGATGGCTCCAAGAGGAGCTGTGACCTGAGCTAATTCCTGGGGCCCACATGATGGAAGGAGGGAAACCACTCCAGGAAGCCATCCTCTGACTTCTACGTACACACTATGGCACAGGCACCCTCCCGCACACTTGTCCCCCGCCCCAAATGGATAAATAAATGTAGTTAAAAGTTCTTCTAAGGGCTGGAGAAATGGCTCAGCAGTTAAGAGCACTGACTGCTCTTGCAGAGGACCCAGGTGTGATTCCCAGCACCCACATGACAGCTAACAGCTGTCCTTAACTCCAGTTTCAGGGGACTCCAACGCCTTCTTTTGAGCTCCTTGGGCACTGCACGACATGGGTGCACTTACACACATACAGGAAATACGCTCACACACATTAAAATTAAAAATTAAAATTTTAGTTGATTTGTTTTGTTTTGGTCTTTTTGAGACAGGGTCTCCCTGTACCCCCAGCTGGCCTGTAACTCAGTATGTAGACCAGGCTGGCCTTGAACTCAGAGATCCACTGGCCTCTGCCTCCAGAGTGCCAGGATTAAAGGCATGCACCACCACGCCCAGTTTAGCTGATTTGTTTTAAAAAGAGTAAGATACACTGTTGTGATGCTTTTTTCTCCTGATTCATGTAGGAAAATATAGTGATTCTATGGCTTTACATACACAGGGTTAATGTCATCTCCTCTGTTTTCTAACACAGCAACAAAAATCCCAGGATGACAGCCACTGACTTTGAGAGACTAGAGATTAATCAGAAAGCAGAGCAGAATATTTGCCAGAGAACACAGAACTAACTCCTTTCCCACAGGCTTTCCTCGAACACAACACAACAGCATGGCCACTTCCTCACCTGTGACGGCTGCTACAATACTTGTTCAGCACAGCGCCCAGAATTTTCTCTGTCACGTCTTTTACAAGTTCACTTCTCACTGTGCAACGTTGAGGGAAATCCCTTCTAAGCCTGTGACTTTGTACTAAAACATGGTGATTTGCTCACGAAAGACCTGATATAAGTTGAAGGTGACACGGGTCTAGCCAAGTGTGCTAGTCACAGGCTTGTTGTATACAACGTCCCCTCACTCACCCTCTGCAACGGAGTAACACATGAGGAAGTCCGCCCCAGCAGGCAGCGTGTACACTGAGGCTGAGTCCACCTCTGTCACGTTGTCCAGCTTGTCCTGATGATGATCCACCAAATCCACGGGAACCACCGGCACGTCATGCTGGTCTCCGCGGCATGCCTACAAAACAAGGAAAACAACACTTCTTGCTTGCCCTTTCCCCCCTGGTGCTTACACTGCACAGTGATTATGTAATTCAGCATACCTCCCATTGGAAAGAGAAGCCACACCAGCACCTCAAAGCAATGCAACCAGGCTTGGAGAGCCTTGCTTTCTGGAATGTTCCCTCACTGCTTTTTGGTTTTGTTTTTTGAGAGGTCTCACTGGGTAGCCCTGGATAGCACAGAACTCACTTGGTAGACCAAACTGGCCTTGACCTCAAAGATGTGCTTGTCTCTGCCTTCTGAGTGCTAGAATTCATGGCATGCGCCCCCATGCCAGGGCTAAAAACTCTAATATTTGCCTAAATGTTTTTATTCAATTAGGTAATTATTTCCAGATGTTTTGCTTGTCTGTTGCTATTGAAATTCATCAATAATCAAAATGATGTTTTTGCCAGGCTTGGAAACATCCACCTTTAGTTCCAGCACTTGGGGGACAGAGGCAGGCAGATGTCCATGAGACTGAGTCCAGCCTGGTCTACATAGCAAGTTCCAGGCCAGCTGAGGCTACAGGTAGACCTTGTCTTAAAAAAAAAAAATGAAAATGACATTTTGACGGGAAAAGACATCCATGCATGTGCTCTTTGCCTTTTGTTCCCACTTTACTTTTTAATTTATTTTTATTTTTTTAAAAAAATTAGGTGTATGTGTGTGTGTGTGTGTGTGTGTGTGTGTGTCAATGTGGTGCCCGTAGAGTCTAGAAGAGTGTGCGGGGTCCCCAGAAGCAAGCTCTATAAGAGCTATTTATACCCACTAATTCCAGTTTGGATCACACCCAGGGCCTTACCTTTGCTGGTTAAGTGCTCTACCCTTGAGCTTACTCTAAATCCTACTCTTGAGTGTTAGAGACTAAACTGTGCCCTACCCTCAACTCAAAAATCAAATAAGTTAAAGTCTTAACTCCAGGGGCTGGACAGATGGCTCAGTGGTGAAGAGCACTGACTGCTCTTACAGAGGACCCAGGTTCGATTCCAGCACCCACATGGCAGCTAAGAACCATCCATAATTCCAGTTCCAGGGGATCTGATACCCTTTTCTGACCTTGCATGACACAGGCGCCCTCACATACATGCAGACAATACACTCGTACACATAAACTAAAAATAATAAAATCTTAAAGTCTTAAGTCCAGTAGCAGCGACTAATCCTCATGCCAAAACCTTTTTTTTTTTTATTTCTAAAACTAATTTGGCATCTAGGAAATGATTTGGGGGAAATGTAAGGGGACAAAGCAGGTGAGGACCAGCCCACTTCCTCTACTTTCCTCCCACTGGCTGGCATGCCCTCCAGCACCCACAGACCCAAGCCAGGCTGCCCCAATGATCCTCTGCAGTCAGTACCTTCCCTTCCAGCGGCTCTCCCTCCACAGCCAGCCAAGCAAGACAGTAGCATACGGGGTGATTCTCTGTCATCTTAAATGCTAATCCAAATGGTTTTGTAATAAAGATAATGACAGTGGCAAGAAAGAATTAAGACTAGCAGTTCCAATGTGCAACTCCAATTGGCCAGGATTCAAAAAGGGCCTTTCTGACTACTGGACAAAGTTACTTTAGAAACTGACTTTATGAGCTTTACAATCACATGTACCAAACGATGGATTTTGTAACTGAGATGATGACACAGTCTTACCTGAATGATAAATATCTTAGGTTTCCCAACCAGGCTCTGGCACTTGTCTCCTTTGAAGAAAGCAGTTAATGTCTGAATTTCAATTTTGGCATCATATGCATAAATATGGTTGCCTTCACCATGGCTTAAGAAGACACACAGGAAGCAATCGGCATCCACGTGGCTTGAGTTGGATACTATGAAGGAACCCAAGAGTACATGTAGAAAAGAAAGTGAAACGCTTGCCATCCACACATGAAAACTGAACTCACTGGTATTAGCACAAAAACACATTATAAAACAGTAGGAGAGGGGCTTGTATTCTTTAATGAAATACAGCTTTATCTTTCTTTCCTTCCCTTTTTTTTGAGATAGGATTTATTATGTAGACCAGGCTAGCCCTAAACTTATTTCAGTCTTTAACCAAATAGAATAACTTATACTAAACTGCATCTTCTTTTTTCTTTTTCTTGATTGTTTGAGACACCACTGTCCTTACTATCCTTGGACTCACAAAGTAGCCAGGTTAGCTTCAAACTACTGACAATCTTTCTCTCTCAGCATCCTGGGTACTGGAATTACAAGTGGGACTCAACATGCCTGGCTTAAAAATCTGAATTATTGGGGCCTGCACCACTGGCTAACTCTCCTAGCCTGCACTACCATCCTCAGGCCTCTTGGGGTAAGTCTATAGCGCAACTCTCGCGCGGGACTCCCTAAGGCACATTCACCCTTCCATCCCTCCCAGCGTTCTATACTCCTAGTTTGGGCCCTGCGCCATTCCTAGTATTGGGGCCCCAGACACCTGGGGAACCAATACTGCTTCCTGATCCTTCTCACCCAGACCAACTCAGTCCCTTTCTTGGGCTCCAGGAGCACCGCTTCTGGTCCTGGCCCCGCCCTCATCTCTCTCTGCTTCCCTGGGCCTGCACCACCGGCTAACTCTCCTATCCTCAGGCACCTTGGGGTAAGTCTATAGCGCAGCCCTCCATGCCGGGCCTCCCTAAGCCACATTCACCCTTCCATCCCATCACCCCCCG